CACTACACCCAATAGGATTCCAGCCACGAATCCTCCAATATGGGAGACGTATGATACCTGAACAGGTGGATTCATTAGGGAGAAGCAGCGGGTGCTACTTACAGAAGAACCTTACCCTGTCCACCCTATCGACGAAATATCGTTGATAGACAGATACGGCTGTATCAGAGCCTATTAAAATCACCAGAATTATCGCTCGGATCCAATTGAATTCCATCTGAATTCGATCAAAGTAATAACTTTACAATTACAAAAGTAATACAGTAATCCTCTGCCTCTTACCTCTCTCCAGTTCATTATGAGTTCAGCTAGATGTGCAGCAAGAAGGGCATAGTCATTATGAGTTCAGCTAGATGTGCAGCAAGAAGGGCATAGACACCTCCAGAAGCACCGGCGAGAAAGACGTGAGGGTCTACTGCTGATACCAGTAGCGAGCCTGGAAGCGGTACGATTCAACTCCAGAGCTGTACTGCCTTCACGTTTTGCTTCTGTTGCTTGGCATGTTGTAAACATAAACATAAACAAACAACACAGAGGCCACTCAATCAAACCAACCAGAAAGAACTCCAGCTAAGTAGACGACGATTACGCGCCATTGATGGACGAGTTCAAGCGGTAAACCAAGAAGAAGTTGGGTGAGCACATTGTATGTGATATGGTAGATTCTGTACAGTACTAGGAATAACGAATCAGTGAGACTATACAAAAAATAGTAAAAATGAAACAGGAAACATTTCGTTACGAACCAAAAAATGTTAAACCACGAAAATGCTGAAGAGTTGTCAGTAACGCAGAGGCAAACTATTTTATTTACTTATCTGTTTATTTATTTATCTATTTATTTATTTATTTACTTATTATTTACACCATTTATTAACATTCCCTTAGGAAATTTGATGTTTAGCACAGAAGAACCACCTTTAAAGCAATAGAGAAATAAAAAAAGTTACTAACACCAAAAACCCGAAGCCAAGCTGACGCCGGCTCTAACACAAGGCACAAAAAACGAAGAGCTTTATTTTTTTACTGCAACTCGCCTTTTTGAGTTTTTCTCATTTTTAAAAGCGTCTGCGATCGATAAAAAGGAGCTCACCAGTGATATTCCCCATAAATGCTGTCCAAATGTATGATTCGGATGTGGTCAAGTGGCTAGTGGCGAACACTGGCACATGCATGGTCCAAGGATCTAAATCTCAATACTCTCCCAAACAAGTATCAACTCCCATTCTACAGAGCAGGTGAATTGGCACCAAACTCGTCCGGGTACGTCTGGGCTGATTTATAACTCTGTTAGCCACCGCTAGGCACTTGCATAAACCACAAGCGCATTCAATCGCCACCAAGATTCTGAATGGAATTGAATGGAGGGCGCATCCCAAAAAAGAGACTGCTCAAATCTACGAAGCAGAAATTCAACCCGTCGAATGAACAAGTTATCTAGAAAATTAAGGAAAATAGAACTAAGGAAAAAAGGAAACTAGAAGAAGTACTCAGTATACTATGATAGAAGAAATGAACTTCCGCATTTTGATCGAAATATTAACACACAATAATAAAAAAGCAATTAATAATAAATACTTATATATTATATAAATAAATTCGATTATGTTCTAAAGAATGCTTTTTCTACGCTAGAGAAAAAAAGAACTTTGTTGTTCGATATTTTACAGAAATTATTTTAAACCCACTTCCTCGCGATTGCTCTGTTTCGATTTTTTAGACAAAATTCCAAATAAAAGAACAATAAATCTCGAATTAAATAATAAAAAATAAATAATTAGTTTGACTTCCTCCTAATTTTCACAGAACTAGGAATTCGTTGCTTGTTTATTTACATGAGTGATTCGATACTTACTTCATTACGATTGCACTTTGACATATACAATGATAAAAGAAATGAACTTTCGAATTTCAATGGAAAGATAAACATACAATAGCAATAATTATATATAAATAATAATAAATAAATATAGATATATAGCTAAAAAATTTGAGTTTTTTTTTTGTTACTTTTAACTTTTCATCGTAGAGAGCTTCATCACTTTTTTTCGCTTTTTTTTCGACCCTACTGTAAAACAAAGCCGCTGCTCTAAGAGGCCTCTTAATTAACGATAGTTCTCTTTAGAGTTTGTAAACTATTAAGATTGTTGTGATTACTTGTGAAAACTATAAAAATAAAATATCATCCATTGATGAAGTTGTAAAATAAATATAAATACGAATTATCATAAAAAANNAAAAAAATTACCCGATATGGATGAACATATAGGTTATAAATCGCCACACTTCGTCTTTGCGATAAGGATTGAAGATAAGAGGAGATTTCGTTGGCACCGGTCCAGTTATACTTATACCTTCACCGGATTCGGCTGTATAGTAGATGTAGATGGCAACCTGAAAGCGATTTACTTTTATTTACTTCTACTTACTACTTTACCATTTACTCTTACTTTTGAGTTGAGGTTTTATGGTTTTTACAGAACTATTACACTAATTTTCGCCAAAATCTAAATATTTCCGTAGACAAACCTGTATTATGCTTATGATAACCATAAAAAGTGGTGGAGGGCAGCATTTGTACCTGAAAAACTCTTGATACTCTTTGAAGTCCAAAATAATCCTTTTTTGGATTTGAAGACGGTTCAGTTGTTTACCTTATCCGATACCTCTTTAAAAATACTTACTTTTGTAAATAGTCGAAATGCTCAGTTCGCTTTGATCGTGGTACGACAAATTGAGCTGCTCTGAACATCAGGTGGCGAAGCCGTAGATGCTTTACTCGACTCATCTGAACTTGACTAAATTACTTGTGTCACTAAAACCGAGACGGGTTGAATTGATTCTCATAAAACACATCTGGATAGGCTAGAAAGGCTCACTTGACTAGTCCCAGCTAGTTCACTTTTGTGAACCCTACGGAACGATAATTAAGTGCTAGGTACACCTCAAACTCCTTGGTTAAAGGTAAATGGATTGAACTTGCGATTTCCAGTTCTAAGAGACTTACATCGGACTCAGGCGCTGTCATTACAATGCAATCATTGACTCTAGTCGCAAATACATTCATGCACTTTGAGAACTTCATAGTAGTAAATTTGTTCTGACAGATGACTTTTTTTTTTGAAAGAGACTTTACCATTCATGATTTTCGCCAGTAAATGAGTTCAAACCGAGTAATGGAACTTCACTCGAATCTTGTGGGTTCTGTAGTCAGCCAACAAACCGGAAATCACTTGTAGTGGCGAAAAAGCAGCTATATGGGTGAACACCTTCGTAATTTTTCGGAAGTTTCTTTTTCCAAAAAAAAAGTTCAACTCAGCTAGGATACTCTACATGGAATTGATATTGTGGCAACGTCTAAAGGACATTCATAGTTAAATTTCTGTTAATATTTATAATTGGATTTATACTTAGTGTACCTCTTTCCCCTTCATATTTACTATTTTATAACTATCTTGCTAGATTCTATAAAAATAGAACTTTTCAAAAACTGCACAAAAAATGAATCCAATGTTTCCTACACTCAGTACTGGGTGCCCACAAATTTTCAAGGAATTTTTCTTCTTCATTTTTAGCCGGTCCGAAAAGTGCAGGTGCCAAGCTACAACAAATAAAGAAAAGAAAAAAAATAATGACGGTAAAAGAGGAGAGTTGATAAACCAAGTTCGTTGTTTGTCAACAATTTCCCTGACTCTGCCACCTGTAGGCAGTAGTTGAACTAAGAGGAATCAAAACTAGAAGATTTTGCCTTTTCTTTGCCTTTCCTGGACTCGTAGATGGAACTTCCTTGGACAGTTCCGCATGAAGGAGTTTTTCAAACTTAAATACCTTTCAAACTGGCCCTTACAAGTAAAATAGACAAAATATCGTCCCCGAATTCTGTCAACTCAACAGCTCGTGACAAATTACTCCGTTGCAATGTGATAATCTTGGAAAAAAATTGTCAGCCATCGCAGTTATTCACGCATTACCCAAATTTTTTCAATTGAACTACGTTAGCTACCAGTTTATCTACTAAATTGGCTATTTACAACAGATTAGTGCATCGAAAATCGTCTATTTTGCAAAAATCATGGGCACATGTGCTAGTAAAGCCTAATCCAAACTAGTTCCATGAAATACGCCAATAATCCTTCAAATTTTGAGCATCATTACCCTTTATAAGCCCACATTCCGGACATTGGTCTGGATTTGTCACCGTATTATCCTTTTGAAGTGGATTTTGTCGAAAACTCGTCTTCGGAGGTAGTTTAATCCGCTTTGTGTGAATACGGACATCCGCCAGGCTACAAAGAGTCTGACCTCAATTCCGAATTATATAGATTACATAATTAGGTGAAAACTAATTCATGGAAGATTATTTTGATTATTCGATGCGTTGTTGCCTGCGGAAAAATAAAAATCAGATTTTTTTTCCGTAAAATTATTTGCCTTTCTTACTTTTCGCCGCAGAACTGTTTTGAAAGACTGAAAGTGTCGCAGGTAGTGGGGAAGCCGATTATTTTCGGACGGGACTCAAACATGTACTTGCACTTTGAGAATTCGTGGAATGACAGCCCGAAAATCACAGGCACGGGTTCAAATCCCGTCCGAAACTGAGCGTTATCTCCTTATTCGTCATCCTTGCCGGATAAATCGTATAATTTGCTGAAAACCAGTTTGTAGTAGAGCATTTGATGTTGTTGAGGAGGTGGTGACTGGAGTGCAGGCACTTTCACGCTCAAAAACTACTCTACCTATGCTAGCTGGTAAACCTACTCTCGAAACCTTTTTTGTAATTTAAAGAGATAAAAATTCAAAAAAAAAATCAAGCTCCATCTTTCGAGGGGAGCGATTGTAGGGGGGAAGAGGGGCAATAAAGGAAAATTTTGGAATAAAAAACCTATTACTAGTCATACTTCCATGCTATAGAGACCAAATGGCTTCGCATTGAATCCTACGTCTTCATGATTCACTCGAGCTCTTTGCAGAGAGAGATATCTGTTAAAAATACTCACCAACGTACAAAATTCCGAAAAATCAATAAGCTTGTCGCCATTTTGATCGATATTAGCAATCATTGTGACAACTTCATCTGGATTCAAACCGAACGAGAACGCTGAATCACGGATAGCTCGTTTCAGATCCGTTGTAGGAATGTAGCCGTCGTGATCCAAATCGAACTGAAGAGTAGAAGGATTTCCAAAGTCATGGCAACAACGAAAAGACCAATAATTGTCAAAAATTATGTGAGAAATTGAAAATCACGTGGGCCGGGCACGTCATGCGACCGTTGGACCAGGCTGGATCCCCGGGATGTCAAACGAAAACCCGAACGTCCGCCGGCCCGATGGTCAGACTTCTTCACGGAAGCTATGAACGAAGGGGATGTTTCGCCCCGTGTTCCTCGAGCGAATACAATTCACTGGACTACTCTGGCTAGCTACAGGGACGAATGGAGACGTTACTAAACCCGCTCGAGGAAATCGATGAACAACGGGACGACAGGTGCGGCAGGTGATGCGAGAATAAACGAGATTGGCAAAAAAGGTAACTGAATAGGCCAACAAATAAGATCAAAGAAAAGCATCGATTGAAGAGAGTATTGAGCAAAAGGGTAAAAATGTATTTGGAGGTGAGGGGAGCCACGCATCACAACGTTAGCATATCAGGAAATGAACTCAACGTTATGTGTTATTCCGTGTTACAACGAGGACACGCAAGTTCTTAACTAAGGCTCAGGAGGGAAGGAGCACCGGGCTGGGAAGTTTCCAGCTTTTTGCACGAGGTAAGCATCTCACCCACCCCGGTGCTCTTAGGTGATGTAGTGGCAAGTGGCGCCTTATCACGCATACATGGTCAAGGGCTCGAATTCCGGATCGATATCTGCCTGGCCAACCAAGCCTTCCATCCCTCTGGGGTCGGTTGACTAGTACAAGACTCGTCGGAGAGGATGAAAGCACTGACTTCTACATCGGCTGGCCACTGCAAGTCATTGTAAAGGCCACATAGGCATTCGGTACACCCCTACGATTCTGAATGGAAGTCGAATGCACGGCGCATCCCTTAGACGGGGCTGATTAAATAACGCCTCAAGACTTTACTTTTTATTGAACAAAAGGTTCAAAGCAAATAAAGTCAAAAGTAAGCCAAACAAATTCGATTTGATACCCAAAAACTAATAATTGCAGATAAGGCTGTAAAAGAACCATAAGGAACTTTGGTAGGGCAAAATTACGTGGGTTATCACTCGAAAGACCTCAAAATGGGAACATTTCGTGAAAAAGTTGAAAAAGAAGTCAATCAATCGACTTACGGCTCTGAAAAGTCGAATCCATGAGGTACATTCAGATTGCGATTCGCACATCATCTCTTGCAATCCTTTTATGTGCATACTGCTTGTCTCAGTGATACCATTAGGTAGCCTAATTTGAGCAATTATTCTATACAATCAGGTTAACGCTATCTTGAAAACGATTAGAAGTAAATAAAAACGTAAACATAAACAACACAAGTGATTACCTTGCGTAGCGACTATCCCAGTGATGATTTGTGGCTGCGTTGGAAGTTCGGAGAGTGGAGGCTTTCCTTGAAGACGAGGTCAGTACGATAGAACCATTCAAAATAGATTTTCGCACTCCATGAATAAGAGGGTCGGAAGAAGAAGTTCAAGTTCGAGAAGGATTCCAGAGGACTGATGAAGGTCATTAGGTTCTCTTGGGGGTATGACTTACGTGGAGAGAAGAAGTTTTGGACCGTTAGAGAACGATACCCCTGAGCGTTCCCAGATCAATGGGAACACTTTTCATGGCCTAGGATTTGGTTTTTGCCATCTGACACCTTGGAAACCAGAACTGTTTAAAGAGATGGCTCTATTACATCGTCATGAAGGAAAATAATATGTTCTGAATTCCTGGAACTCTTGAAATAAGGCCACAAATGAGTCCTACAGTGAACATGGCATGAATAGATAGATATGGAAAGTTTACATTGTTTTTTTTAGGATCCTGCAGCTGATCACATATTTCCAGAGGCTATGAAGTTACATCTATCGTCAGAACTAGAATACACTACCAATACTACCAACGGAAAACGAGGCTGATCTCAAACTTTCGGGTACCAACTCTCGAAATGAAAACCATTTTCGAGGCAGAAACAGCTCGATCAATATCAATAAGTAAACTGGGAGATTTCGTAAGAGTGGATCACTGTTTGGGAATTACCTACACATCACAGGAACCCAAGAACTAGATGTCGGACAATTATCTTCTCAGTAATCGGTGTCGTCCAGTTCTTGACATACAAGAGCTCATAGGAATCAATGGGTTCCATGTTTTTTAGCTCGGCCAAGAGCAAGAATAATGGGAGTTCGAGTGTTGTGGAGTCAGACAGCTGCACCTTGAAAACTGTGCCTTCACGCTCCCACCCGATAGAGGTGGCCTTTTTCCGGTTTCCTACGCCCTATGATCGAACTCCCGGAAAAGACTCGACATGATAAGTCGTACGGCTCCCTATTCCTAACATAACCTCAGTAAAGGTTGCTATTGTTAACAGTAGCAGAAGAAAATCCCTAATTGGAAGGTATTATACTACAAAGCATCTCATTCTACAACTCGAAATTACTTCATAAGCTATTCGACAGCGACGAGACTACATTGAGAACATCATCACATCGGACAGTGCCTGGAAGTCGGTAATTTACTTTACAGCTAGAATTACTGCAAGAATTTGGAACACTGTCAAGCCCTCCTTCCTCAGAGAGCAGCACAAAGTCGAAGATCGCTCGTACCTTTTCAAGGAAGAGCTTATTTTCAAAAAATTTTCCGTTTTAACGGCCATTCATAGGCCCAAGGGATTTGCCAAGAATACTTTCGATGCTAAAAACCCAAGGCTAAGCAATAGAATTAGTTTTTCCTGTGACGATACCCAAAGTAGGGCAATAGGTTCATCACGACCGCAAATGAAAGAGACGAAATCAAGAAAGAAATGAAATGATTTCAGAGGATACAACGAAGTTATAGATTACTTTCTAGAATGATCTATACTCTATAACGGAATAGGGAATGAACTAGTAGTACACTGTAAACTTCCACCACCTTCGGAAACATTTTCAAAGGGAAAGAAACGCTAGTGAACATCAAGATAAAGTGAAAGACATTCCTACAAAGAGTGAGAAAGAGAAGGAGAGTTATGGGCCAGTTGCCGACTGGGAAACCAGTCCTTCGAACAAGTTGACGCATGCTATTGTCAATGGCCTTCATAGGAATGACATTTTTTTCGACCTCTAAAGCTTCCAAACTATCGAGCTGTCTCTTTAATGTCAAACTATACAAATTTCCAAAATCTCTACATCTAAAGCGGTTTGTGTTCCTTTGGCCATGATCCCATCAGTGAAAGAAACCCCACTAGCCCGAGCATTCCCAAGATAACCATCAAAAAAGTCTTTCAGAGAAAGCGGATGAATTGTAATTAGGGTCAACGCTAGGATAAACATTGCCTATCGGATGCGGATTTAGGAGCGAACGCGTTTCATGTCTCCTTGGCTAGCCTTTGGAGCCGAGAGAAGCCATGTTTTCCTATTCTGGACGAGTAAAAAAGGGTATGTTTGGCTACCCTGCGGGGCCAAATGTTCCTGTAGGCCCATTTTGACACACTACCC